ACTCTGGCAAAGTCCTTGTCTATTCTTCTCTACCCGGGCGACGTTGTGGACGTGCGCATTGGCGGTATACACTGCTCTGGCGCGCAGTTAGTGCCGATCGAGCCCCGGTTTTCCTGGTATCATGTCGTGTACCTCTGCTGTTCGACTCCCCTCTAATGCCCGTGCCCGTCGTCCTCTCCGTGTGGCTCTTGAGGGTCGAGTTTGATCAACGTATCGATTCTCATGATCGCAATGCAGGCTTCCACAGCGCTCTTGAGCTGCTTCACTTTGCTCATGCTCGGCTCCAAGACACCCATCTTAACGACATCTACAACCTTGCCACGCATCAGGTCCAAACCGTAATTCTTATACTGTCGCTTTTTCGCAATGTCCTTTTCTCTCTCATTGGCCTCCCCTTCTTGCACTCTCTGGCTCAGTGCGTGACGCACGCGAAGCTGAGCGACAAGCTCGGAGGCATCTTTTGCCGCATTGACGGCCAAGGTCTTTGGCACAATCAGGAGAGACTGCGAAAATTCTCCGATCGCTAGCTGTTCCCGAGAAGAAACCGTCATGGCGAATTCTTCGAGATAGATGTGTAGGGCCGTCTCTACTGCCCCACCTCCAGGCACGATGCTGCCCGATTCTAGGGTTCGTTTGACAGCGGACAAGGAATCGTGAACAGACCTCTCCATTTCGTCAAGCTGATAATCGTTGGACCCTCGAAGAATAATCGACGCCGATGAGAAGGCTTTGGTTCCCTTCACCAGGATACACTCGTCGTCCGAGATGCGTTCTTGAACCACTTCCTCGGCGTAACCCAGTAGTTCTTTTTCGTATCTCTCGTCACCGTTTAGATCAGATAGAGTGCTGACAAGAGTTGCCCCTGTCGCCTTCGCTATCCGTCTCAGGTCTTCTTTCTTGCATCTCCGCACCGCCATGCAGCCACGTTCAACAAATAATTTAAGAACCAGATCATCGATCCCTTTTGTGGTCAGCACCACATTTGCTCCGGCCTTCAGTATCATCTCCACTCTGTCGAGGACAATGCCAGCTTCCCGCTCTCGGATCTTTTCCAGTTGTTGAGGGTCTTCAACCGTGATCTGTACTCCAAGCTTCATTCGTTCCTTTTGGAGGTTCATGTCGAGGCAGGCGATCTTTGCGTCGGTGATTCTCGTCTTCATTGCCTGAGATGCGACAGTACAGTTCAATGCATATCCCTTAACCAGTATTGACTCTGTCGCGCTCTTGCCGTGTGCCTTGAGGATATTGACAGCCTTGACCGGGTATTTGACTTCGTTCTTCTGTGCATTGACCGACTTGACCGCCAGCATGGCATCGACCACCATATTGCCAAAGAAATCCGCGTCCGCGCCAATGATCTTACTTGACATTGACGTTTTGGCAATGTTGACTAGACTTTCTCTTCCAAGGGCTTCCACTTTTGTGCTGATGTTCTCCTGCATGTACTTGACCGCTTCTCGCAGAGCCAGGCGGTACCCAGTGATGATGACGGTAGGATGTATGCGGTTCTTCATGAGGTCGTTTGCCCGTCGAAGGAGTTCGGCGGCGAGAAGGACGACGGATGTGGTGCCATCTCCCACCTCTTTGTCTTGCTGTTGAGCCAAATCGACCAGAATTTTCCCGGCAGGGTGTTCGATGTCGAGTAGACTGAGAATGGTGGCGCCGTCATTGGTGACCGTGACATCGCCAATATCGTCAACCATCATCTTGTCCAAGCCTGAAGGGCCAAAGGAGGATTTGACGACATTTGCAATTGCCTGCGTTGCGAGGACATTTTGGTCTCGAATGTCCTGGCCACTGATCTTCTGACCACCGAGAAACAATGTCCCACCGCTGCGCGGGCCCTCGAAGATGCCAGCCATCGCGAATAAAGGTACAGAAAGAATGCGCCGGAGAATGAGGACACCAGATATTGCTCAGAGAGAGCCAGGAAAAATGTCCTGCGGCGTCGCCATCACTCCACGGATTAAGGCGGCGACTGCGGGCCTCCGTTCGGTCTTGGCGCCGAGGCGATCATCTAGCCCCGCCGCTTTAATCAGGGCGTAGACTGCCTGCACTTTTGCGCTTGTTCAACTTCTTTCAATACTGCCATCTTGACAATGAGCAGCACAGCTCAGTTTATCGATCATTGGATTCTACTGATGCTTCAGGTTGCATCTTGGTCCGGCACCCCGGCTGGTCACCTTTCGGACACCAGTACGTCGAGTCGAGGATCAAGTGGAAAGTCTGTAAAATTGTTGCTGCAGTGCGTATCAGAGCGGAACTTCCCTCATCATCCATTCCATTGCACTCGTATCGTCACCTTGCGGACCGCGACTGCTACAATGAGTTCCTCGAAGCTCACCTTTTTATTGCACATAAGATCCTCGCGCCAGACCTACGTATCCACGTATACTTCTCAGATTGTCTCACAGATTCCCCGGTCCATATATAGCAGAGGTGTTCCCTAGCAGATGAAATAGCTCCCATGTACTCCCCAAACACCACAATCGCACAGCTGCGGAATGGTGAGTGGTTGGGCTGTGACAAATCGACCCCCTGCAGAGCCAATACCATGCGACCTGCCAGATCGGATGAACCTCGCAACGATGATGACTGTGGATTCTTGCTCAAGCATCCTCCTTGCATCGACTGATATCGTGCTTCAGGTCCCCAATGGCTCGTATTTCTGGAGGACGAGCTGAAGAGAGGAAATGAACTGCTAAACACCACAACTCAGGGCATGCTACTACAATTGCTGGGACGACCAAGTCTGGCCATGTTGGCCCCATATTTCCTACGCTGATTCTTGTGCTCCTTACACAGCTCCTGGGCCTAAAGAAGACATTATGTCAATGGTACAAGAAGGACCTGTTGTATGTGTTGTTCATTGCAATGAGAAATGTACTAACAAGCACAGACCAAGGTCGTCTCGTACTTTTACAGCCAGTCTCTCACTTTAGACAAAACCTTCCGCCCAGCCTTTCCATCCTGGGGAACCTCAGAGATAACGCAGATTCAAGAAAAGACTCAAAAGGGATGCTCTGCCTCTGTGACACCCGCCGACTTGACGATGGTGTGCGTCACTAGGGCCTCGTTCGCATGCGCCCAGGAGAGTACCGCCTCGGGATCGCGACACTGGTGCTATAATAATCCTGTCAGGCGGGTCCACCCGAGTTTCAGCTCATGGGGATGGCTGCTTACCAAGGTGTTGAAGTCCGGCGAAGGGATTTGGATGCCCTTCACCCAGTGGAAGAGGATGAGTCCGAGATCGCTCTTACACATGAGAGCCTGGCGCAACACGTCGATACAATGGTCTGTCGGGCCATCCACGTCAACCTTTTGATGAACCGTCCACACTATTTAGGCCACTCACCGGCATGCTCTCGACGATGATCAGCTCGAGTCTGGAAGAATGGATCGGTGTCGACATAGTGGTCCCAGTACGTCCATTTGCGCAGGACATTCTTTCACATCAGAGGGTGTCAGTGCGACCTCTAAAAAGAGCAACCAGGTTCATCTATTAGCGTTCACTTACCAGACAGTGTAATTGGTGGAAGACCTCCAGTGTCCCCATGAACCCGCCTCCGTTGTCCTGGTCAAGCTCGACGACCGTCTCCAATGCTGCGGCGTTACCAGAGCTGTATATTTCCTCTCGAGATACATTGAGAACTGCTGCCGTCTCAACCATCCAAGCTAGAATTGTGTCAGCCCAGAGAGAACCAATTTGTGAAGCACGATTGAACTTGCGGTTTGTAGTGAACCTATCCCAAGCAGCATCAATCTCTGGACTGGGAGGCCCTCTATACTGATTTCGGCCGTAAAGAGTTGCATCAAACCTCTTTGGCCTGGAGACGGCCAGGCTACGAAGACTCTCCCCTGCAATAAATCTTCCATTCAGCCTTGGAAGTCCTTGATCTTGACAACAATGCTGGGCTTGAGGAACTCACTCCAGATGATATCGTCCGAGGAGGTGCTCGCAGGTATTCCTCTATCGCATCTTCTACCAATGATTCTGTCGCCCAGCAGAAATCCAATGTTGAGCAAGCTGAGGACGAGGAAGAATCCCAATACGACCCGAATCGCGATTTCGAGTGTGGTCAACGAGGTACGTCGCCGCCAGGGAAGCCGGGACGCGAAAGCAGCGTCCTGCTTCTCGTTCAATGGCACATTGTCGAGCTCGTCGCCCCCAGCTTCGAGTCTTTCGTATTTCACTTCTTCAGCAGATGCCATGGCCGATCTAGTCACGCCAGGTCTGTCTCGAGAGTGTTTGTATATTTGCAACAGCACAAATGTGGTCAGGGGCAAGACAAACCTCAAGGACCCACGAGATGTCAATGGAAGGAAAGCATATCATTCGAACGAGATGCTGCAATGTTCGAGGACTCCCTTTTGCATCCCCCCCTGGCCGACTCGCTTTCGCTAGACCCGGACAGGAAGTGCCGATAGAAACCTGGATGGCAACCGCCGCTTGCACGAGCACGAGCACGAGCAAATGTGCATGACCACATCCGTCATAGTTGTCAGGCATGGTACTAGCCTTTGGCGGTAAAGGAGGGCTGTCACTCAACACAGAAAACAGCACACTGGATGACACGCTATGATTATTCTAGGCACATTGAAGTCCCGATTGGTTCTCTGCGACTCCTGGACGGGGATGGCCGAGGTGCAGTGCTGACCTTGCAGGCGAGTAGGGGTACATCCTTTAGCGTGGTCATCTTGCATACCGATCTGCAAAGGTCAAGCAATCAGGGCCAGTATCGGTAAATTGTCTTGTCATGTCCTTCTTCTTGTGCCACTACTCCACAGAACGAGCTGGGGCTAAGGAGCAGGTGAAATGGTATCAATATGAGATCACACCACCTGATGGTGCTTCGTGAGCTTTCTGTAAGATGCTGTCACGGAGGTGGTTTGAGCATGGATCCGCAACGCGGACGAGATCCTCCAGAAGAGATTGAAGCGATACCATAATATCGACGAGTCACAACCTCCAGGTCTTTTGCAGCCGTCCGACGGCCATGATGGAGAACACCTGGAGTATTCACAAGTTGGTCGGCCGCATCATCACTGGCGGCACCAAGAAGACGCAAGATGGACAACAGGCTGCCGGCGAATACCAAAGACTTGCAACCGATCATGGCAGTCCGATAGACAACGACGACGAAAGGGCCACGATCGAGCAAAGCCATGTGCACGACAAGGCTGGAGAAGCCGGAGGACTCGAAGACATTGAAGACGCCGTATCTTTACCGCCGCCGCGGCGACGCGGGCCCAGGATGGCGCAGCTCTGGTTACTCCTCGGAGCACTCATCGCCACGATACTCCTGCTCGTGACGGCCATCACCACAATTCGGCACATCAAACCAACGTCCCCCAACAGCTCGCTCAAGCCGCCCAAGCTCGGGCTGCACTGCGGCTCGAGCCTCGCCGAAGCGCGCGCCAACGGCTGCGAATTCGACCTGCTCAGCTACAGCTGGACGCCGTCGGCGTGCTACGACCGGACCACGGACCTCGAGTTCCGGGAGTGGGTGCACCGGCCGGAGCGCCAGTTCGGGGCGTTCCCCTTCTTCCTCGACCGGCAGGGCACGGCGCACATCACCGACGAAGAGGCCCTGTCGTTCCGCGCGGGCTCGCTCGCCCGCACCACCCAGGAAGAGCACCTGGGCCACTGTATCTTCTGGATGAGGCGCGTCGAGAGAACCCTCGAGGGCGCCAATGGCGGACGCTTCGCCGAGAGGGGCGACGGCATGCCCCACACGTTGCACTGCACGGAGAACCTGCTGGCGCAGCTGGAGGGGCCGAACCCCAAGGATCGAGACGAGCTGCACGCCGTCATTGCGATTGGGTATAATACGTGTTGAAGCAGTCCTTGCCTTTTTTTTACTTGTGCTGTGTCGTACACAGTTATCCGGACAGGGAGGTGGTGAGGTGGTATAGACTTCTTTCGCGACCAGATTGACCAAAATAATTCCATTTTGATTTAGGACTTTTTAAGTCTACGAGTCTTTCGCGACTCAAGTGATGTAGCCCTGGTATCGAAAGAATATGTACCCGAGGTATGTAACATGGAATGAAAAAAAAAAGATCGCCGGACTAGGCCACATGAAGCATATATATATGATATTCCTCTCAGATTCAGGAGTTTGTTCCACCTGATTTAAAAACCCTGAGAGGTCAAGAGTCGCTTTGATGAACAAACCAACCCAACACACGCTAACTGTGGTACTGTAGACTGGAGAAGAAGAACCAAAAGGGACAGCAGAGTACTCCTCCCACCCACCCCTTCCTCTCCCCTTCTTTCCCGCTCCCGCCCAGGAGCGGGGGGTTAGAAAATGTTCACACCATGGCCGTGTAAACCATATTCGTGTGCTTGGACCGCTTGATCTTCTTCTTCCCATTCGGCATGGTGACCAGGTACTCGTTCAGGCCGGGGAGTCGGCCGACCTCGGCCTGTTTCTTGGCCTCGAGTCTCTCGGCGGCCTTCTCGGCCGCGGTGGGCGGGCGGGTCGGGAGCGGGGAGTGGCGCGCCCGGGCCTTCTCGACGGCGAGGTGGAAGCCCAGGTCGTCTTGGATGGAGCGGATTTGGGCTTGTGAGAGGGTCGACAGCGGGGAGGGGGATATAGCGTCGGCGGCGGCGCGGGGGGATGATGATGATAATGATGACGATGAGCTGGATCGTGTGGCGGCAGTGTAGCTGAATGTCGGGATGTCGTCGCGGATGCGTTCGCATGTCCAGCAGTAGCACTCGTCGTACTCTTTGGAGAAAGACGGCTGGCGGCTGCCCCGCTCCGGGACGTCACTATCATCAAGCGACTCCGGCGCCGTGGAGATTCGAGGTGATTTGGTGTCCGTGGGCGTGGGCGCGGGCACAATCTCCTGCCGAAACAGCCGGTAGAGTCGCGGGTAGAGCCTGTGCGTTTTCCAGATCAATTCCACGCCAAAAGGCAAGGGCGACGACGTATCATCTTGGCCGGCCGCCGCGGCCACGCGGGAGATCGGAGTCGGAGACAGCTGACGCTCCAGATACTGCAGGGACGCGCGCTCCAGTGAGCCCTGCAACGACGGCGACCGGATCCACAGCAGCCGGTGGGCCTCGTCCATGAATCTCTCGCACCGCTTCACCTGGGCGAACAGGTCGACGTCGACGGGCAGCTCCGGGCACTCGACGTACGCGGGCGGGCCTTCGAGGTAGGTCAGGATGTCTGCCGACTGGGACGTCAGGGTGGCGAAGAGGTTCTCTGCCGGCTTGGTGATCCTGTAGGCCATGGAGTCGAGGTCGAGCGCGTCGCGGATGGCCGGCCAGGGGAAACACAGGTCTCCGATCCGGGCGCTGGGCGTTTCTTGGTAGGAGCACGCCGTCGTGTAGCTTTCCTCGTCGAGCATGAAGGCGTACCACACCAGCAGCACGTCCAGCGGCGGGAGGTAGTCCTTTGTCAGTTGCACCACGGCGTGGGTGCCCGCGTGGTGCGTAAACGCCGTGGCGTGGTACAGAATCCGGTCCATGTTCATCCACCAGGCCGTGAAGCGCGTGATGGCCAGCCGGATCAGCAGGTCCCATCGCTCCGGCTCGGGCAGCTTTGTACTTGTCGGTGGACGATGTTGCCGCTGCTGCTGCTGCTCACTAAGCACGTCGCGCTTCTCGTCTTCGGAAAATGCCGGCGGCGGCTGGTCCTCGACCACCTCGACGTCGTCGAGCCTGCTGGCCGCCGAGAGTCTGAGTCTTTGAAAGCTCTCGAGCAGCGCCAGATGCACCGCCGCATGGCTGACGTCGGGGTAGACGAGGCTGCTGTCGGCGCCGATCCTTGCCGCTGTTGTCTCGTTGGGCACAAAGGCGTTTCGGAAGATTCTTGGGTTTGGGATCACTGTTTCTCGCGTCCCTGGTTTGGAGGATGTCGAGTATGAAGACGGGAGTCGCCACTGATGCGGATCGACCTGTGCTTGATCTCCTCCGGCGGACCGGCCCCGGAAGCGATTCAATATCGACATTTCGTTGTATGTGGGCGTGAGGCGTGATTCGGATCGTGCGATGCTGTACAGACAGATGGACAGACAAAGGACCAAGTTGCTACTCCCTTACTCTCCTACCTACTTGTACAAGCAGTACTTGTCGTTGTACTTTGTAGTCTAGTTGTAGTCATCGTTGTAAGAGAATAAAGTCGGCGCACGCGTGGCGGTGCATTGGCACGGCCATGGCAGTGTTTCTAGGCATCTCGGCAACTATTCCGCCTCGTGCACTGATCATCAGACATGGCATGACAAGTTGCTAGCCCGGCCGGGGCGGTTGGGGATTTGAGTGGCCGTGATGGTGCTTTGTTGTTTGTACATTCTTGTAGAGAGAGGTATTTTGTCCCTGGGTCTATATACATCCCACATCCCCTGTTTGTTTGTTTTGATGGTTGGTTTATGGAGGGGAAGGGGGCTTGATAGGGACTGAATAAATTGATAGGGGCCACTAAAGCGAGTACTCGGTGCATGGAAATTAAGAGAAGGAAATTCTCCGTAAATACCCTGCAGCGTCCACAGAGTCGGTTAAACGTTGGGAAGCCTATTAGGCACGTTGCCGACCACCCACCGGCCACCCACAAGTAAAGGCCAATCTGCCCAGTATTTCGATACTGCTAACTGCCACCCTCACCCACCTCGCCAAGAGCATCGTATTATATTCTGGGAAACACATGTACGATTATTCGGTACGACCTACCTCGTACAGAATTATTACGACATCCAACCCCCCCTGCTCTCACTTGGTCCAGTCAGCCAGTCTAGGTACGAGCAGCATGGAGGGGGTTGACTATTAACGGGGCGGCCCTCAGTGTCAGCAAAGTCAGCGATTGGCCCAAGATCAGCATCATCATGACATCCCATAATCCATCCCAAAGCGATCTGGGGTCTGGGGCCAACGGGTCACCTACGGGTCCAAAATATGACTCCCAAGTGACTCCCTGCCAGGCTGTGGCTGGTTGACCGGCCGCACAGCGACAGGCCAGGGACAAGGCAGACAGGTCCACAGGATAATTACCATACCATATGACGGGACGGGACGAGTAGGGGTTTTGATTCAGGACCGATCTTATACTAGGTACGAGTACATGTACCATCATGGCGCTGATAGTTACTGTTAGTCTAGAGTCCTTGGGTCATAAAGGGATTCTCCTGACCTTGGGACTTCGCAACTACTTCTCAAGGAAATACCCTATTGTCTATATCCGTTTGGCCATGCCTGCCAGTGTTCCCTCTTGACACTTCGATGGAGCAAGGAGAAAAGGGGCAAGCGGAAGAAGAATGCCCGCGTTCCTCGTTGATGGAAACCGCTCGACTAATTGACGAGGAAGTCTCGGGCAAGGGTTGGCTTGCCTCCTCCTGGCACCCGGGGAAAACAGCCGTTGCTGCAGGAGACGACAGAGGAGGGTATCGCTACCGCACTCGACGCGAGTTCTGGCTTCTTCATGGCTGCCTCCTGCTGCTGTCATCGATGCTGGCCGTCGTTGGCATCTCGAGCCTCGTCATATCTGAGCCACGTCGTGCCCCCGAAGTCATGTGGTCGCCCATCCTCGATGCTGTGTCCGTTCAAAAGACCCGGTTCAACGAGACGTTCATGTACCCGACAATGTTCGCGTCCAAGTTCTCCAATGGTCTTGCGTCCGAGGACGAATGGCGCAGATGGACGGCAAATCGTAAGATATCCCCTTCTCTCTATTTGATCTAGATTCCTGGACTGAATGAGACCTTGGTAGCGATGTTGGATGGGCGTGACGGAACAATCGCCGTGTCGGCCGACGTGGTCGATAGAATCGCTCCAATGTACACTTCGCAGTGGAAAGACTCGTTGATCCAGCTGTCCCATGGAGGTGAGACTCGGTACATGGGGCAAATTGCCATGTTTCATCATTTGCACTGTCTGGTAAGGCCCTCGCATCCATGAGACAACGGTCAGTTCGGCTGAAATAGAGGTTTGTAGAATATTCTCCGGCACGCAGTGCATCCAGAACTGTATGGAGCCGCACCTGGAGGTGGCCATCTTGGTGAGTTCTATTCGTTGTGAAATCGCTCCGAGATCTACATCTGACGCGGTGACTCGAACCAGACCACTGTATAGAGAGCCTGCGAGAGGTCCTCATGTGCAATCCAGGAGGCACCGAGGTGATTTTGTTCCATTGGATGGAAGATTCGGAGAAGCCATATCCAGACTATAACACTTTCCATCAGTGTAGAGATCCAGGCGCGGTTTTAGATTGGGCTCTGGAACATGCAGTCAAAATCAGGGGACCTCTGACCAAACCCAGGGGCGTCTTTGCGATGCAGGATCCCCCATACTGAACAGGGACCTGTGTAGTCAATATGGTAGAATAAGGGAGAAACACATACCTTTGCGATCATGGGTTGCATTGGATTGTCAGCGTAAAGCATATGCAGAGCTGCAATCACCCTCGATAATGACACCGCAAAGTTGTCATCCTCAGCATAGTCTGGCCTTCGCAAGGCATCATTGGCTCCCCCCTGACCCTGATGAGTAGACAAAGGCCCCTCGGGTAGCGTAGATAAGAGCTTCTCACCACCCAGGCGCTTCGTATGAGGATCGTCTCCTGCCAGAATTTGACATCTCTAGCATAATGCTCCTCTTAGTTTCCCTAGTATTCCTCCTCAAGTCCGTCCAGGCTGTCCCAGAAACATTCTCGCCGCATCCTTCGTCGCAGGCTGTGCTCTCGTCTCAAGATGTACACCATGACCTCCAGGAGATACCAAAGTCGTTTGACTTTTGTCCTCCGGTCGATCGCATTCCGCACCTGTTCCCTTACATAGGGCCGGACTATAGATGGTGGGACAAGACGTTGTGGGACGTCCTCGGGTCTCTCGAGCAGAC